GCCTCTGGCACATGCCCCAACCAGGGCCTGGGCCGGGGAAGAGCCTGCAGCCAAGATACATGCCCTTGACCGGAGTTGAACCCAGGACCCTTTGGTCTACAGGCCAGTGCTCTGTCCACTGAGCCAAACTGGCTAGGGCCGTGGTAGGCAAACCGCGGCTCACGAGCCACATGCGGCTCTTTGGCCCCTTGAGTGTGGCTCTTCCACAAAATACCACGTGTGGGCGCGCACGTACAGTGCGATAGAAACTTCGTGGCCCATGCGCAGAAGTCGGTATTTTGTGGAAGAGCCACAATCAAGGGGCCAAAGAGCCGCATGTGGCTCGCGAGGCACGGTTTGCCGACCACTGGGCTAGGGTGAGCATTTAGCTTTTATTCTCTCTCCTTTTTTCCTCCCTCCCTCCCTCCCGCTCTCCCTCTCTCCCTCTTTCTTTTCTCCCTCCTTCATTTCCTAAGCAGAGGTGGTTCTAATTCAACGTCTGCTAGCCTGTCTTCTGGACATTGAAATAAAGTCCAGCATGTCCCAGACTGTCTTGCTTGTTATTCCCTGGAATATGCCCACTATGCCCATTTCAGAGCATAGTGGCACGTACAACTGCGCGCACTCCTGTGTTGGTTCTTCCTTCAAGACCTCATTCGCAGTGTAATGTCTGAATTTTGGCATTTCTTTATTGCACCGTGGGACATTCTAGACTGGTGCTGGCTGTCATTTAAGTCAGTTGGTTTTCTTATCCTTGGAGAGATGTATTCTTGAACCTTTGAAATTGGTTCCTATTTTGGCCTAAGACTATATCAGAAAGCTTTTTAGAAGTCACTTGTCAGATGCCATGTAATTAAAGTGATCTGGCACATTCTCCCATCAAAGCGTTTTAGCCAAAATACCCACATGTCTTAAATAATCAACTCTGTTATATGTGGAGTTGAGACTTTTTTTTAAAGCCTCGCTTTGCCTTTACAAATATTTATAATCAAATAATATCCACCATGTACCCAGTGGGTGGTCACACACAAAATACCCGACACGGACGGCCTTCAGGGTCCCAGCAGGAAGCAGGTAGCACCCTTATTTGGGATGGGTGACTCGGGGTGAAGAAAGGCACTGCTTACACATTTGTGGTGGGTTAAACCAGCAAGGCTGGGACAGCAGCCCTGAGAAGTAACGGTGAGCATCGCTTCCCATCTGAAGGCGCAAGGAGAGAGAGCAGTTCCCAAATGTGGAAGGAGAGCCAGTGCACAGAATGCGGGCTTCCCAGAGGAGGCAGCCACTGCCAGGGTGTGGCCTGGCGGGGAGAGAGGAGGGGTGATGCCCTGCACTCGTCTCTCATCCTCTTGTCTCTTGTAAGTGTCTTCCATTGGTTGGACCCAACCAGAAGCCGAAGGACAAGGCCGCCCACTGGGTGCAGTGCATGAGAGGCCTGCCTCCTGGGCCGCAGCCCCGGGGACAGGGCTGGAGGAGCAGGCAGAGCACAGCACGGGCGCGTGTCCCCCAAGAGCAAGTTAAATAGCGTGTTTCTTTTTTTTTAAATATATTTTATTGATTTTTTACAGAGCGGAAGGGAGAGGGATAGAGAGTTAGAAACATCAATGAGAGAGAAACATCGATCAGCTGCCTCCTGCACACCCCCTACTGGGGATGTGCCCGCAACCAAGGTACATGCCCTTGACCGGAATCGAACCTGGGACCCTTGAGTCCGCAGGCTGACGCTCTATCCACTGAGCCAAACCGGTTAGGGCTAAATAGCATGTTTCTTGACTGTGCTCCCATTTCCCGGAAATGCATCTCCTGGGAGAAGGCGTGATGACACATAGGGGAGTTCCTTGTCTGTCTGGGAAGATGAATCGGAAACTTCTGGCAAAATGACCAGCTCTTCCTTTTTAGGCGTATCCTCCTCTCATGCTCCTGGGTTTTAGAAAGTAGAGCCGCAGCTTTTATGTGCCATATAAACACAACAGACACCTGAGAGTTAGAGTGTTATTTGAAAAACACCTTTAATCAAATCCTGTCAGTGAAAGTGATGTTAGCTGAAAGCATGCTGTTAGGTCAAGCAGTGTACAAGGGCAAGCCCGGTATCCACCCTCATATAATTGGCAGTTTTTAGGTATATCTGTTAGTATTTTGTTTATCTGGAAGAGCATTGATGCTGATGTTTTAGGTGAAATATGTGAGAAATTTATGCATTTGGAAAAGACTGTCATCATTTTATTTTCTCAGCAGGACACAGTATTCTACCAAGAGAGGAAAGATGAAACAAAATCTCTCTCTCTCTCTCTCTCTCTCTCTCTCTCTCTCTCTCTCTCCCTCC